GCCTTACTAGTAGTAACAAGTGCCTTACTAGTAGTAACAAGAAGCTATTAGGAACAAGTGCCTTACTAGTAGTAACAAGTGCCTTACTAGTAGTAACAAGTGCCTTACTAGTAGTAACAAGTGCCTTACTAGTAGTAACAAGCAGCTATTAGGAACAAGTGCCTTACTAGTAGTAACAAGAAGCTATTAGGAACAAGTGCCTTACTATGCTTTCATGAGAAATCATGGTGCTTGGAGACTTCATGACAAATCCCACTCGAGGCCCTTCAGCATCAGCAATGGAGATTCTTCCACGGTGTTGTTTGGATTCTTCTATCCGGACTTTTTTGGAAAAAGAGTGTATATGTGTATATTTGTTCTGTGTTTCTGTTTACGTTTATGTTTAAAGGACTTGACTTTTTGTGTGCTTTGTTATGTAGATATGGTTTTGTTGAATAGGTGGAAACAGAGCGAATGATTTGATGTTGATGCAAATGTTGGGACTTTAGCCACTAGTATGGGGTGAACACTACAACCGTTAAGCTAGCACAGCTTGCTGTCTTTCAGGGTGGTTTTCGGTGGGGTGCTTTTACAGTTCTTGCCATTCAGACCCTGTTTTGATAACATGTTAAAACCTAGACCCGACCATGCTCAAGCCCAATCCTGTACACACGTTCTTTCACGAGCCTTGATTTGAAGAAAATTAGTGCAGTATGACTAGGAGCAAGGACGCTACTAGGGGCTCCTGGCATCGCTACTAGGAACAAGAAGCTACTAGGGGCTCCTGGCCTTACTACTAGGAGCAAGGACACTACTAGGGCCTTGACTAGGGGCTCTGCATCATGTTGTCAAACCAATCATGCAAGTAGCACTAGCACGCTACTCGAGATACAAATGATTGCCCCATCGCCTCCGACTCGATGTGTGTTTCCGACCTGACGACGGTGAAAAATCCACTGACTCGTTTTGCCAAATAGTAGCGATGCCAGGAGCTACTAGTAGCTTCTTGTTACTAGTAGCGATGCCCTTGTTCCTAGTGGCGATGCCCGTTACTAGTAGCTTCTTTTGCCAAACAGGTCGACGACCATTTCACAGTCGCAGACCTGCCCAGGTGACTTGGAAGTGAACACGCCTCTTCCTCACAGCATGGGCCAATGGGGTAGCAGTCGTCGAACTGGTCTTTTGGTTATGTTCTTCTCTGTTTGCGTCGGAGAGTTGCTGCAATGTGCTGCAACTGCGGGCGTAGACTGAAATGCGAAAAAACAATCATGCGCTGCTGGAATGAGCCTAAATCGCAGCAAGACCCTGACCGTCCACATGTCCACGTAAGAAGTGCTTCATGCCAGGACATCTGCCTTCTGTCAAAGTATGCGCCAGCTTACACAACTGCAAGTTCTTCCAAGAAAATTGGTTGCCCTGGGCTGGGAGCATATATCTCCGGTTCAAGTCAGGAGGGAGTCAAAAGAGTGAACTGTTCACGTGTTCAATAATATAATAATGGAAGTCTTTCAAACATACTATATTAAAGCTACTAGAACTTGAACGCACATCAACTTCTTGACCAGGGTATGTTTGGTGCTGCACGAAAAGGGGCTGAAATGGAGTTGCAATGTGTTGACATGTGACAAGGGCAACAAGTTGCAACATATGTCCAGATTTGCGAACCAGTTAAGGGACTCTTGTGGTATATATGGCAAATTGTTGACAAAACAAATGGTCTTGCGATTGATCGCTCTTGGGCTGGAGGCCATCGCTAGTAGGTTGGAGGCCATCGTTTGAGTTCACTCGGTTTAAACACCTCAACAACTTTGCATAAATCGCTTGTAGTTGTCGGCTGTCAGCCACTGTTTGTCATCTACTTTTGAATGAAACCTCGCAAGGTTTGTTTGTATACTGAATGTCAACAATGTCCAGGATTGTGCATGATTGCCACATGGTGCTGGTAGCAAACCTTACGTGGGGTGAAAAGTGGACATGTTGAAGAACCTGTAAAGGCAGTCCCCTCACACTGCACAGTTTGACACACGCTTGAAATGAAACAAACTGCGAAACATCAGAAATGAACAGAATGAACAAGCACGCTAGGGCCTCCTGGCTTGAGCAAGAAGCTACTAGGGGTTCCTGGCATCGCTACTTGGAGCAAGGAAACTACTAAGAACATCAACCCAGCTGAATACCTGTAAGACCTCAAGATTGGTTTCACTCGGCTCTTCCACGAACAAGTCGTTTTTTGAAACCGTCTATTTGACACTTCCGAAGATCTGTGCCTTGAGATGACGTCAAAATCCGTGCAATGCATATAAGCGTCTTTTCTTTCCCAACCAGTGTGGACACACTTAGGGGTTCTTACGGTAGTAGTTAAGCAGCTGTGCTTAGATCACTGTGCCGCACGGGCGTGTCGGGCTTATTCGCTGCTATTTGCAGTACATTCGGACCATGCCTCTCGAAATCATTGACGTGCATTTCGACTGCGCAATATCACAAAATCTGCGTGGGCGCGGCGGGTGTTTCTAGCGACTGCGCTCTCGTTGTGATGCCGCACGAAGTCGACTTTTTGACATGCAAGGGATTTCTGCGGCACGGCACTTTGTGAACCTCGATGCGCAGATTTCGTAGCAGGCGCAGCGCTTTGTGAACCTCGAAATGCAGATTTCGTGGCAGGCACAGCACTTTGTGCTCTCAGATGCTCACCTCTCGCTCTCACTCACACTCACACCCACACACGCTCACCCTGAAAAACCTACTACCTTACAGTAAGTAAGTAGATTACAAGCGTCCTAAACACAAAGCGAAAGCACGTGCAACAGCTCACAAGCAGCGCAAAAGCACTCGCACCACTTTTACGCGCACTCCTTGAGCTCTGGTTGCTCAAGTTCTGGGACTTGACCCAAAGTAAAGTAGAAAAGGCTATGAGGGACTCCTGCGTACAAGCTATTCCCATGCGAAACATTGAAAAATGTCGAGCTCAATAAAACGCATTCAAACATGCTCAAAATTGTTCCAACCACATTCACACAAAAGCTTCAAGGAACGCTTGCTCCAGCAGTCGGAATGCAAAACTACCTCACTACCTCACACACTTTCACACCCCCTTTCGAGGTGAGGCTCATTCACTCTGATCTAGTGGTGACTTGAGTAGATGCGGTGGCTTCAGTCCTCTCAGCTTTCCAGCACTCTTTGGTAAAATGATCTTTTCGCACGCCTTGCAGAGTTGAAGGCGACTAAGTCCCTTCTATCGGGTGTAATGGCATAGTGGGTTTTTTTTCCACGAGTACGGACGCGGTGTGGGCATGGTGCCCAGGTCATCATTGAAGGAAGGGAAATACAATCACAACCCAACAACAAACCAAACAAAACCAACTACAGCCCACAGGCCGAGACTCCACCACCAAGTGGTATTTCCTCTGTACTATGGTGAAACAAGTGAGACGATGACTGCTGACGATCTATGGGCCTGAATTCACGAAAGAAGAGCATGGCAGCGAGGGTTTGTGCTCCAGCAAAATCTCAACGAAGTCGTCAAATGGACTTCAGATCACTATTACCAGTGACCAGCACAGAGTAGCAAAAAAAACCAGGTCACAATGCAAATCCCGGGTTGGTATGCTCTAACGCGGGTCTGATCCTTGCCTAAGTGGATCAGTGGTTGCTACAGATCATGCCGTGGAAAAATGCTTTCTTGCAGCACAACCCTTGCAACTAGTTGCACAGACAAGTCAAGAGGCATAGTAGTTGGTAGTGTTCAGGCAGTGGCGGCCAGCAAACGACAAAAGCCTGCAGGTAAGGGTGCGAAAGGCTCGGAAGGTCATCACGGCACCCTTCGGCACACAGAGGTGCCAAACGGGGTGTCCTCTATCTTCGTGAAATGCTGGATCATTGCAAAATTGTTCTGTTACGTGCAAGGTCCGTGTGAAACAGGTGAAACAGGACCTATCCTTGCATGGTATCTGCACCTCTTTGTACAAAATTGGAAATGTCGGACATCCTCCATTGCCATCCTCTACCACCCGCCTGTTGGAAACGAGGAGCTAAGACTCTCATTCCTATTGGCTCACTGTATTGCGAATGGCGAAAGAGATTTGACGATCCTACTCAGTCTTTGCACTTTTTCACTTGCCGTGGCGAACTGGCGGTGTGCTTTTCCACGATTCCCGCTGCGAAAGCATTGTTGGTCTTTGATGCAGGTTCTGGAAAGTCATCTCTCCATGGATCACTGACATCGGCCGGCCAAACTCGGTGCTGTTTGGACTCGTGGAGTCACCCACATTGGTTAAGAGCATATGTCCTTCACCATGTTTTGCTTTCTCTTTGTTTGTATCTTCCTCGAAGGTGCGCACTACCTGCAAAAGCGCATGGCGCCATGTAAAGCAGGAGTGGAAACCTCCTGTAGAGAACACTTGAGGAAGGCTTCTTATGCCATGATCCTGAGTTTGGGACGGATCAATGCGGAAATTTTAAACCCAAACAGAGTCCAAAAAGACCTTCTACAA